CCTGACTGGCCTGCAGAGGGCTCTCGCCTGTGTCCCACGCCCTTCGTGTGGAGCAGAACCCAGAAGGAGCCCCACCTCCCCCAGGCACTGGGAAAGTACTGGCACCGGTAACAGGACCGACCCCAAGAATACCCTGTCTCTGCTGCCATGGGGCTCCCTCCTCAGCAGATGGGAGGATAAAGGCCTCTGTGCCCCAGGGGTTCCTGGCAGCCGAGGAGTGCACCTGCGGACAAGGACCAGCTTACCTAGGGCAGAAGGACCTTCCACACACCTCATCATCCAGGTGCGGAGAAACCGTCACGGGGCAAGAGACAGGAGGGAGAAACGGGGCCGGCTGTCTTTATCATGGCTTTCATGTCATTAAAGTGTCATTGCACAAAGTTTAAAAACTGAATAATAGTGAAAAGCTGATAATGAAAAACCAGGAGTCCTGCTCCTCCCCCTGCCCACCTCAGACTCGGTAATTTTGTTTTCATTTGTTTATTAGTCTCTGTCTGCAATGCACGGTGATTACACCCACTGAGGGAGCCAGTGCGCGACGCACCTTCCCTCTCTTTACCTCCCCCTCCCTCCCTTCCCCCTCTCTTACCTGAGACACCCAAAGCACAAATAATTTAGAGAGAAGAATAACTTCTAACTCTGATGGCTGCTTTGGGCATGAGGCTCCATGTTTCCTTATGACATTCTTATATTAGCCCTTAAGTAATCACTTAATTTAGACATTATCAGTTGACTTCCTAGGATAGCAGATGAAGATTTTATCTCCTTATATCCTCCCCTGCCCCCTCTGCCCTCACAATGCAGTTATGTCAGAACTGTTATTTGATAATCAAAATGTAACACTAGTATGATTATGTGAATATTACTTACTTCAAATGCCCGTGTTTTATTATATTTATATTTCCTTTCCTGTTGAACTTTTTTATTTTTCCTGCAGTTAAAAATATTCTTATGCCTGGCATGGCATGGTGGCATATGCTTGCGATCCCAGCACTCGGGAGGCTGAGGCAGGAGGATCACCATGAGTTTGAGGCCAGCCTGAACTGCATAGCAAGACCCTGTCTCAAAATTTAAAAAAAAAGTTCTTGTTTTCTCTCTTTTAGAGGAATTTTTCAATAGTTAAACTTTCCTGTCAATTTCTTTCATGCTTCCTCTGGTTAGGAGCAATTCTCATGTACTTGGAAAATATTTATGAAACATCTACTTTGGCAAATTACTCTGTCAAGTGTTAAGAGATACAGAAAGGAACCTAAAATATAGTTGAAAGACAAGAGCAAGGGCAATAAACACAAAAAATAAGCAAGCAAGAAGCAAGAGTCAAGCACTTCCCAAGTTCTCTGTGGAGTGTGGAACTAAGCGTCCATGAGGAATGTTCTGGAATCAGAGGCTGGAGCCATGGAAGGTTTTCAGGAGGGCAATGGGCCTTGAAGTGTGACCTGAATGTACAGCCAGAGAGGAAAGCAGGATGTCCAAGTGAAGGAATTATATAAATGAGGGAAGATTTATAATATAAAAATCTCTTTAATGGGCTTATGTCTCAATTTCTTCATCATTAAAAAGGAAAGAGGTTTAAATCTGATATTGTAGTTACATAAGAGGAAAGTCCAGATGCTTAGGAAATAAATATATGTTTTACTATTTAGGGGGCAAGGGCCAAAATATAGCTACCCTCAAATGGCTCAGAGCAAAAATGTGGCCCGGTGATGTACAGGTATTCTTTGTACTATTTTCACTTTTCGAATTGCTTGAAACTTTAAAATCTCCTTGGAATTATTTTTAAATGTTTTAAAATACTTTGAGGATTTAAGACATTCGTATCATTCTCTTCACTTGCCCCTCTCTGACCACGATGATCTTCTTCCTTTTCTTAGAACAGATTCCAGGGCTAAACTTGCTTCTTCCTCAGCCCAGAATGCTGCTCCACTTTCAGGTCTCAGCAAAAACAGCAGACCCCAGAGCCTGCTCCTGTTGCTCCGTTTCCAGAACAGGCTTCCACCAACTACGTATAATCGGATCGTTCTTTCCTTCCCTTAATGCCACCTTTTAACATACAGTAAAAACCTTAATTTGTGAGCATAATTCATCCCCAAAGCATGCTCATAATCCAAAGCACTTGTATATCGAAGCAAGTTTCCTATAATAATGGAAATTCAAATGATTCATTACACAATCAAAAAATATTCATATAAAATGATTACAGTACTGTAATATAACCCAAAATAATCAAGAAAATACAAAATAAAAAGAAAAGTAAGTACATGCACTTACCTTTGAAAACCTTTGTGGCTGGTGTGAGGGAGACAGAGGCGAGTCACTGTGTAGGACGACTTTCACCATCACTAACGGAATCACTGCTATCTATCGGCTCAATGGACTATTTTCCTTTCTGTGCAACTTTAACAAGAAACCTATCCAATGACACTTGCTTCTGCCTCCTTTGAAGGCTTTCATGAGAATGTGACGATTAGCATTCAACAGATTTATCGCTTGCACTGCTACAGCCTTATTCACTGGTGCTTTTCTACAAAATTTTGTAGTTTCCCACACTTGACACATCTTCCTAATCTCATTTGAAGTGAAGGCCTCCTCTGCCTTTTTCTGCTCCTCCTTTGCAGATGAGATCTCCTCCACAACCTCCTGCTGTTGAGAGATAATCACCCACAAACCCACAGTGAGAGAGACAGAGGGGAACCACCGGCTCAGTTGTGACCATATGACGTTCTATATCATGTTTGACTCACATTGCAAGACATTACTTGTTTATCAAGCTACAATTTATTAGAAAGGTTTGCTTGTCTTGTGGAACACTGGCAGAACAAGTTACCCGCAATCCAAGGTTTTACTATACATATAGTACTTTCCTTCACTATTTTGTTCATGTTTGTTTTTCTTATCATTAAAATGTAAACATCGGGGCTGGGGATTTAGCTCAGCGGCACAGCACCTGCCTGGCAAGTGCAAGGTCATGAGTTCAATCCCTGGTACCGGAAAAAAAAAACAACCCCCCCCCCAAAAATTAAAATGTAAACATTAAAAATATGTACTGCAAGTTTTAAAAACACCTTTAAGAACGCTAGCCTAAGGATAATAATTTATGCAGAAAATTATTCTTTGCTCCACTCATAGAAGCAAAAAAGAAAAACAAAAAGGAAAAATGTAGCCAGCAATAGAGCACACTCCTATCATACCAGCATTCAGGAAGCTGAGTTAAGAGGATCTTGAGTTCAAGACCAACCTAGGCTACAAGAGCAAGACCTTGTCTAAAATACTTTTTTTTTCTGAAACATTTTTTTAAAAAGAGAAAAAAGAGAAAAAAATTTTAAATCAACTTAAATATTCAACAAGTGGAAAATGGTCAAATAAATTCTATGGTACTGCTAGTAAAAATGAATTTTCACGATAAATTTAAATTTCATAAATAAATGATTAGGGTATGATTTCAGTGGGGGGAAAGGCAAGATATAAAACTACATACTATATAAATCCAGTTATGCATCTATGTAGACACAGGGAAAAACAGAACTGAAGAAATTAGCTCTCTCTCTCTCTTTTTTTTTCTGCATATTGGAGGTTGTGCTCAGGGCCTTCATACTGAGCTACAACCTCAGGGCTTTTTGTTTGTTTGTTTGTTTGTTTGTTTGAGACAAGGTTTTACTATATTATTCTAGGCTGGCCTTAAATTCACTATATAGCTTAGGCTGGCCTCAAACTCATGGCAACCCTCCTGCCTCAACCTCCCAAGTGCTGGGATCATAGGCATAAGCCACCATGCTTGGCCACTTTTTATTCTCTGAGATGGGGTCTTGCTAAATCACTACACTGCCCATACTGAGCTTAAACTTGCAATCCGTCCTGCCTGCGAATGTATTGTGATTACCAGTGTACGCAGCCACCCTGACAGGAATGGAAGACATTATATCAAGATATAAGCAATAGCAGGGTTAAGTGTAATTTTGCCTTTAAATTTTTCTATATTTTGAAGTTTTTCATACTGAGCATGTATTCATCATCTAACAGAAATAAATACCTTTTCTGAAATTTTCTAAAAGCATTGAGAGTAAGATTTGGAGACAAACCTAGGGTTTATTTAATTTTTTAAAAATCAATATAAAATTCAATCCATATAAAATTAAACATTCTTTTTTTTTTTTTTTTTTTTTTCCCCAGTGCTGGGAATTTAACTCTTGGCAACACGGAGGTATATTCCCGGCCCTTTTTATTTTTCAACCTTTATTCTGAGTCAGTGTCTTACTAAATTGCCCAAGCTGACCTCAAACTTTCGATTCTTCTGTGTCAGCCTACTGTGTAGCTGGGATCACAAGCCTATGCCATTATTCCTGGCTATATCTTTATTCTTGAAAATCGTATCTGTTTTGATTTTTAATGCAGTGGTTTTGTTTTGAAAAGCAGAAGGGGCCATCTACCCTGTGAGGTTATCAGCTGGATAAAAGAAATAATTTTTGTGAAGAGCTGGCATAGTGCCAGAATAGGTGCTCAGTAGCTCCATATTATTCTAAAATAGGCAGCTGTCTTAGCTGGGGGTGTGGCTCCGTGGTAGAGCGCTTGTCTAGCAGGTGCAAGGCCCCGTGTTGGATCCTCAGCACCTCAAAAAAAGAAATGAAAATACATAACCGGCTGTCTTTACCTGAAAATAAGACCTAGCTGGAAAATACTCAGCCTTGGGAACTAGAGATCAAAAATGCCAGCCCCATCAGCCTCTGCCTCACCCGCCTTACAGAGCAGCCACCAAGCAGGAGGACAGTGATGGCAGGTGAGGCAGGAACGGGCCAGTGGGGCTGGCACTTTTGAGCTCTAGTTTTCAAGGCTGATCACTTTCTGGCTAGGTCTTATTTTCAGGGAAGGGGTTGTTTTAAGAAGCCGTGCCTCCCTGCTGGCTCTTTGCCAGCTTCTGTATCCCAGCCCCAGTGTCACAGGCGTGGCACCTCCTCCCTGGGCGCCGGACCCTGGGCCTGGAGCCTGACTTGCCTGGCCTCCCGCAGGTGGCTGCTGAGTACTTCAAGAACACCACACTGCTGCTGGTGGGCGTCATCTGCGTGGCGGCGGCCGTGGAGAAGTGGAACCTGCACAAGCGCATTGCTCTGCGCATGGTCCTGATGGCCGGAGCCAAGCCCGGCATGTGAGTCCACGAGGGCCTTCCCCGCTGCCAGGATGCAGCCGACCCCGCGTGTCCCGTCATGGCGGGGCATCACTTTAGCTGGGTGCTCTGTGGTGGGCACGGGATAGCACCCACCTCCCCTCCAGGGGCGATCCCCACTGGGACAGGTGAGCAGTGGCAGGGCCCTTACCATCAGAGCCACTGTATCGGCCCAGCCAGCCTCAAGGACAGCACGTGAAGCATCACAGGGATTCACCAGGGAGCACCTTATGGGTCCACAGAAGTGGTTCCCACCCCCTTTCCTGGATGTTAGGACATGGGCTGGACACGAAATCGGAGGCAAGATGGAGATGTTTCCTCCCATCCGTCCACCGTAAGGTCTTGACATCGCTTAGGGCCACAGACCTGAGAGACCTGTCGGATTTGCCAGGTCCCAGTTGCTCCCTCTCTCCCTCTGCTGTCACCGAGAGCAGTGAGAGTCCCAGCCACAGAGCAGGAGTGGGAAGGCCAGCGTGGACCCTTCAGCACCTTCCTCTGTCCTCCCTCTGACACCCTTGGCTCTTAGTTCTCGCTGAGTTTTACACAGCTGCCCTGACTCCTTGGGGAGCCACAGCATGAATCAACCCTAACCTCTCAGTTTTCAACATGTTGGGCTGGGGATATAGCTCAGTGGCACAAGCACCTGCCTGGCAAGCACAAGGTCCCAAGTTCAATTCCCGGTACAAAAAAAAAAACATCTCTCTCTCGCAACATGTCATTTAGACACATGGATGCCTCCAAGTGAGTTCTGTCCTCCAGTCTGTCAAGTGGGCTGCTGACGACTGCTTGTTCCACCCCGTCGCCAGCAATCCCCTGTACCCACCCTCCATCTCCTAGGCCAGTGACGGCAAACTTTCAGTCATACAGAGCTTTCGGTCATACAAACAGCCCGCTGCAACATTAAGTGCCGTAGGTTCGCCACCGCTGTCCTAGGCACACAGTGGCACTTCCTCACAGCACACTCACACCACCATCAGCCTATACAAAATGCCACCAGGACGGAGCCCCGCTCCAACACAACCCACACAACAAACGTCCAGGGCCTGAACTGCGCAAAGTCACCTAAAGTGATAAACATGGGCGGGTTTTCTCTGCAGTCCTGGGGACTGGATCCAGGGCCTTTGCAGTAAGCGACATCATTTATTTATTCATTCATTCCCTTAATTTATTCATTCACTCATTAATTATGAGACAGGTTCTTGCTGTCACCAAGATGCCCAGGCTGGGCTCAAACTCGTGATCTTCCTGCCTCAGCCTACCAGAGTACTGGGATTACAAGTGTGCTGGAGTAGCGATAGTCTTTATTTTGGCTTATCTTATGAAAACTAGGCACACATCGATCCAAGCACACACTGCACAGTATTTCAAAGTCAAAGGGAAATAATTCGAAGGTTACTTCTGGTCATGTTTTCTCCCAAGCATGGACTCTTCCAGATCCCACCTGCACGAGTGCACACACATGGCAATGGGGGACACTTCTGTGACTTGAGGACATGACGTTCGGCACGCTGACAGTAGGATGAGGAGGCGGCAGAACTGGGGGGCCCTGACATTAATCTATTTGCTAATGACTGTGGTGTCTGGCTGCAAAGCACAGAGCGTCCTGGAGCTCAGGGAACTGCTGACGAAGAATTCCCTCATGCACAAGAGACGCCATCACCTGAGGTCCAGAGAGAGAGGAAGGAGCAAGCCCACACCCTGTGGCCCTTCTAGCAAAGCTACTGTTTGCCAAAGGAAGGGCTTTCCTGGCTACATAGCTCATGCAGTGCAGTTCACTCATTGCACAGATAGTGAATTCATGCTTAGGGTGCGCCAAGCGCTGGGCAGATGCATGCCAGCCACGGTTCTTTAGTGAAGCACCATCGGGTGGGCAGGAGACCCCAGAGGCCCCACGGGGCCCCGGGAGGTGGGCCTTCTGCGGCACCACGCTGGCCCCTGCCTTGCAGGCTGCTGCTCTGCTTCATGTGCTGCACCACCATGCTGTCCATGTGGCTGTCCAACACCTCCACCACCGCCATGGTGATGCCCATCGTGGAGGCTGTGCTGCAGGAGCTGGGCAGTGCCGAGGAGGAGCAGCTCGTGGCGGGCAACTCCAGCGCCGAAGAGGCCGAGCCCATCAGTACAGTACAGTTTACAGTTTGCTTCTCCCTGGGTCCCCTGCCGGTCTTCCCTGTGACACTGCCCAGCTCGGTGCCCGGCCCCACAGTGCCTGCCCCGGCCCTTGCTCCCCTCTTGCCCACGCCAGCCCGGTACCTTGCAGCTCCCTTGTCCCCATCCCTGACTCTTGCCCATTCTTGTTCACTGATGGGCGCCCCCGCCACTGCTCCTGGCCCCCAGATGCCCACAGGTTACTACGAAGCCCCTTTCAACCTCCAGGGCAGAGAGAAGGGGACCATCCTCCAGCCCAGCCTCTGCCCCAGCCCTGAACCCCTGGACCGCTCTCCCACCCACATGCCAGCTCCAGCTCCACATCTCCCTTCCTGCTTTCCTTTGCCACTATAGATCTTGATGTCAATACCAGCCAACCTCCTCTGGAGCTCATCTTTGTCAATGAAGAGTAAGTACAACTCTCCCCTCCCCAGAGCCTCCCAGGGCCCACTGGGGAGATCAGGAAAGATGGGGCCACACACAGCCCTCGCAGACGTTCGGACCAGGCTCAGCCCAGTCTTGTCTCCATCCTTAGGAGCCACCTGCCAAGATCTTCAAGACGGTCCCCTTAACCCCAGATCGCTGCAGTGGTGATAAAGAAATAGAAAAACCAACACCCATCTGGGTGGATGCAGGAACTCTCCATATAGCTTCCAAGTAAAATCCATCAAAATCAGTGACTCTCTTAGGAGAAAAACGCTCACAGGGTAGATGTCACTAGAGGTTCCTGGAGAATCACAAAACATTTTATAAATACACGCTATATTCTGACCAGCTCTGGTCTTGTTATAATAGCAGAGAAAGATCAGGTGACAGGCAGGGGACTGGGGACAGTGGGTGACACAGCCAAATGATGGTCGTGTACGCTCCCAGGAGAATCTGGGAGAGTACAGTCACGGCCATTCACGTGAGGTGGATCTATCAACAGCTGATCTCTTTTGAAGACTGCATATCAAATGTGATCTTCAAGGTATTCTGTGATAAATACTGCACATCTCAATGCTGCATTTATCATGGAGCTGGTCTCTGCAATTTGTCTTTTTCATAAATAATGGGTATTTCACACTGACTGAATGAATCACCATATGCAAGGGGATAGATGCAGAAGGAAGCCATAAGGAAACAGCTTTATTTTTCTCATCACACTGTCTTCAGGCACGGTAGCTCTTCTGGTTCCATTCAGATACGGTCCTCCTGTTCTCACGCTCCAAAGTTCAGGCCAGACTTACAGCAGAACTCCAGCCTCTCGTCCACGGCCTCTGCGCCTCCGCTTGTGCCCACCAACTTCCTCTTGGAGGGGACAATGAGATGAGCCGGGTGGGAGGCGACCTCACACACGTCACGTCCCCTTCCCCACTGCCCACTCACCATGCTGCTTTGGACTTCTCCAGAGGTGGGACCAAGGCTGTTGCGTGCACACAGTATCTGGGCTGGAGCTCCTGGAGCTTGGGCTTGGGGCCCTCCGTGTTTCAGACCCCAGGTCTTTCCCTCGGGGCACTGTGAAGCGTCCCCTCCACAAGGACGGACTGTGCTCTTTGGTGGCGATCCATGTCCTCCTGGCACTGTGTCTCTCAGTGGCTGCCTCTCCATCCAGAGAGGCTCCTGGCCATCTCTGCCTCTTGGGCAGGGCCTTTTGCAGGTGGCTCTAGCCCCATCCTTCCCCGTGTCCCCACCCTGAAAGCTCCCGCTGCTCCTGCGCTGTGGGTCTTTTCTTGCTCCGGCCTCTCTGGCCGCACTGTAGCAGCTCCTTGCCTTTGCTCTTTCCACATGAAAGTAGTGGCCTGTACTCCAAGGCAGAAGCTGGAGCTGCCCTAGCATCCTGTGCGGAAGGAGCACGGCTGCCTGGGGTTCTTCTCGGGCCCAGGGGCTCCTTGCAGGCTGAGGGCATCTTGACCGCTCTGTGCAGCCAGTTTGGGAAGGGAGGGAAACATACGGTATCTCCTAAAAAGGACACTGCACACACACCCGTCAACCCCGGCCTCCCCTGTGGGAGCCACATTCTGCATGTGTGTCCAGCACTCTCGTCTCTTTCCACAGTGGGCGGGCTGGGGGCAACCACTGTCCTCACCACTAAGACACTGAAAAACCCACTGAACACTCAGGGAGCTGGTAATTCCAGTAGTTTTCATCTTCCCCTGTCTTCACAGTGGGGTTCCACAGGTACGCGGATGTGCAGTAACTGTGCCCTAGAGGTGCAGCTGCTGCCCGGAATTCCCCCACATCTTCTCATTCTCTCTTGTGTCTCCCTGGGTACAGTGCAGGCCCTCCCTGCTCCTGTCCCCCCAGATCAGCACACCACAAGTGGCATTTGCTAGACGGTGAGGATGAAGTCAGGGGTCTCCAGTAAGACCAAGTGGCTCCTGTCAGTCCACCACTAACATCTCAGTGCTAATTAGATGCAGATGGAGGTAGCAACACCTGCAGCATGGATCTCTCCTGGGGATTAACAGTGTAGTAAGGTATAAAGTCTATCTTTAGGGGCTCAGCACCTAATAAGCCCTGCCTGTTCAATGTTACTGAGTGTTACTGTTGCTTCAAAGGAAGCCAGCTGCCCCTGCCTCAGGAGGCAGCAAGCCCCATGGCTCCGTGAATCCCCACAGCACTGAAAAGGCCAGGAAGGTTAGGATGCGACTGGTCCTCTTTGTAGCCTAGAAACTGGATCCAATAGTTTAAGCCCTTACAGCAAACACTACACTTGGGAAGAGAGAGGTCGTCTCATGAAATCTGGTCCCCTAGTTTCCCTGTTTCCTCTGCTTCATTCCAGCATGTCGGCGGCAGACTTCGCTTCTCTGATGCACAAGGTACGGCCCTGGGTTTTTCCTGTGCTTTGAGATCACTTGAAAGTCCCTCAAGCCAACTCAGGGCCCAAGATGCCCAGCAGCTTGTCCTACACTCAGCAGCTTCCATGGATGTAAAGGTGGAGAGGGTTCACACAGCTTGGACATGGAAGGGCTGGTCAGGCTCCTGGCAAGAGCCTGGGTAGGTCTGAACACGTGCTCCAGGTACTGGGTTTAGCCACATAAAATACAAGTTAACCTTTTTTATGGAGACCCAAAGAGTTAGTCATCCAGATTTCAAGAGCCACAGATTCAAACTCAGGATTTTTTTTTTTTTTTTTGTCTTTTTGACACAGGGTCTCACTATACAGTTCAGGCTGGTCTTGAGCTCACTTTGTAGCCCAGGCGGGGTCTCCAACTCACAAAGATCCTCCTGCCTCAGCCTCCCAAGTGCTGGGATTACAGGCATGCATCACCACACCCAGTTAAAATTTAGGATTCTTGTCAGTAGGGATTCCTTTATAGAGTTTACTACCAAAAGGGACATATTTGTGGGGAGAGCAAAATTCAACCACATGCTGCTGCTCAAACCCGACCCTGCCCTCCAAAGCCAGTTTTAGGTGTCTTTGTGAGGAATGCAAAAGGCCAGTAAAACTGTGGACTTTACAGTAGTGGGTTTAAAAAACTTTTTCTCTGTGATAAAAAAAATAAGAGTCCTTCATACTAGTGAAGTCCTGGAAAGTCAGGCTCTTCTAGAAGAACAAAGTCATGTTTATCAGCTTTTGAGAGTCTTCCGGGGTGGGTGTTTAACACCAGTGGACAGGAGCTGTGCAGATGAGACAGGCCTAGGCAGTGTTCTCAGTTCACACCCTCTCTGGCTTCTGGTCTCTAAGTCCCCTAGTGCCGGGCCATGGGGTGGCCCTGGGATGGTCAGGGGATGCTTCCCCAGGCACCTGGGTCACCACTTCCTCTCCCTAACAGTGTACAACTCTGTCCTGACAGAACCTGAATGGTGTGCCCATGATCACCAAGCCCATCAGGACAGCAAATGGACACCAAGGCAAGAAGCAGCAGCCATTGCAGGTAACAGAATCCCACCTTCTGGCCCTGTTTCCTACATAACTAACGTGCCTGGCGCTTCCCAGGGGCATGGGTTCTGACGCTGATGGCGTCAGGCTGGTAAGCTGTTCCCAGGTACTCTTTACTTACAAACACTTCTGCCGTGCATATGCCACAGTGACCAAGCATCTAGCTCACTCTGCTTCAGCACCATGTTCCACTGCCTGGGCCTCAGTTCCTTCAACTACAAATGCTGAAGTTGGTCTAGATCAGAGGGGTTCAGGGTCCTTCTCAGAGGACACTGCAAGTATTTTACTTTAGTATCCCGAGACTGACTGTGCAGCAGCTGCTTTTCTGCATAAGCAAAGATTTTCCTGGTACTATACCACGGCTGTAAATGAGGCAGAGAGATGAACCTCTGGGCCAAGAATGAAGACCGCATAAGGGGAGCGTCTTCATTCAAATCCAACTCCCTGACCATTAACCCCCTACCTGGCAGACTTCCAGTTACAAAACAGATGAATGCCAAGTCCATGCTCCGTTTATGTTGTATACACTGGGGATCACGGGAGACCTCGGGATCCCTCAGTGGTGTCTTCGGGTCTGCTCACTGGCCCTCCTGTAATTCAGGACAATGGTTAAGAGCGACGAGAAACGTGACAGTGTGGTCTCTCTCTCGTGGGTTTTCTTAAGACCTGACCTGTCAACATTTGTGCAGGATTCTCTGTGTCTTGTGAAGAATCGTGAGGGTGGGCAGACCTGGGATGCACAAGGGGCACTTGCTTGTTTAGTCCACACTTGAGACTGGAGATCAGCACCTCTGGGACATGGAAAGCCCACTGTCTGGACCACGCAGGGCCTGAGAGGGCCCTGGCCAGGCTGAAGTGTATATGTAGGAAGGGAGGTAAAGGTAGAGGAAAGGCCAATTGGTAGGAAGGAGAGTGGGCCAGAGAGGGAACAGAGAATCACACATTTCAACCTTCTTCCCAGGAAAGTGACGTTCTTTTGTAATCCAAAGAGCACTGCTCTTACCCCACATAGAATGACCATCTCCTGCTTGTTCAAATGGGAGCAACCAGTTTCACGGGAGTTCAAGTAAAAAACCATGTTGTCCGTATTAATAACACTAATATTGCAATAGCTCACCATTCATTAAATACCTGGACATGCTCTAAGTGCTCTACATTTATTACTTCACTTACTCTTCACAATATGGCAAAGCAAATAGTTTTCCCCACTTTACAGAAGCAGAAACTGCATCTCAAGGCATGCCCCAGTTGGCATATAGCAGAAACTGGGATTTATCTTTCTGACACCAGAGCTTGAAACCTTCCCTCTGCCCCGTGGTGTCTCCCATCTCTTGGGGCTCTGTGTGCTGGACACCCCAAGCTGGGTTTTTTCCTTTGGTAGGAAAAGCCACTAGTCCTGACCCGAGGCGCCAGGAACCAGGAGCTGAACAGAAAGTACCGATCCCAGCATGACCAGATGGTCTGCAAGTGTCTCTCCCTGAGCATATCCTACGCTGCGACTATCGGCGGCCTGACCACCATCATCGGCACCTCCACCAGCCTCATTTTCCTGGAACATTTCAACAAGTAAGTCATTCACTCAGTCAAGAAATATCTACCAACCACTCCGAGGGCACCAGGAACTGGGCCAGACGCTGAAGGCGTAGCAGCAGAGGAGGCAGCCTGTTCTGACCCAAGAGGGAAAAGACAAGGGAGTCTTCACAGCTGAGTACGACCAGGGAAGTCCCAGCTTCTGCTAGGAATGCTCGCCTGTCTAAAGGAGAAAATGCTCCCCACTGAGGTGGCAATGAAGTGGCCACCTGAAGGGTGAGCCGGAGTAAACCAGATGAAAGGAGGTTTTCCAGACAAGACAGTGCATGGGACGCTCTGAGGCAGGAGCGCAGAGCCCGTAGGTGTAACTGACGAAGGCCAAAGGAGGCCAGAGAGGCAGGCAGGTGAAGGCCAAAGCGCTCTACAAGGCCGGAGGAGGAGCTTGAACATCATCTGAAAGGCAGTGAGCAGCTTTTACCGAATGTGAAGCAGGAAGTGAAGTGAGTGGATTTATAGTTTTAAAACTCATTCTGGATGCAAAATTGGAGAATAAGATGGACAGGAAAAAGCAGGAAGACAATGTAGGACATTTCTACGGCACCCAGGAGAGGTCCAGGACGACAGTGGCCTCACATGACAGTGACAGAGAAGCCGAGAAATGGTCAGCCTGAGAGCCGTTCAGAGGTAACTGCATGAGTCTTGGTAGCATTAGTAAGAGAGACCAAGCTGACTCTCTGGCTCCCAACTCTAACAGCCAAGGAAACAGAGGGAGAAGTTAAAGAATGAGATTTTTGGAAAAGCTGACATAGAGGTTGAGCTGTCTAACTGGAGATAATGGCTGTGAATCTCAAGAGGAATATTTAGGCTGATGGCATACACCTGGAGTCTGTGGCCTGCAGAAGGGCCACAGAGATGGAGCCCAGGGCTAGGCAAGCTCTCTACTACTGTGTTACATCCTCAGTCTTTAGAAATTACTAACAGTCCTTGAGAAAGGGGCCCTTATTTCCGTTTTTCCCCTTAGTAATGGAAGCCATAGGGGTGGAAATCACTTGGCAGGTATAAAGTGGAACAAGGGACATGAAGATTAAGCTCAAATATCTAAGGTAGACTTCAGAAGAGAGGAGAACACGCCTGTGCTCCTGTCAGACAGGAAAGAGGAAATCTGGGCATACCAGTGCCAATTCTACCCAAGCAGGTAAACGGTTTGGGAAAGAGGGAGTGACTACCATAATGAATGCAGTGGACGATGGCACAAAATAAGGAGGGCAATGCAGCTGTGCAGTGTGGTGACCAGGTGGCTACTAGTGACCCAGGCAAAGGAAAGTGGTCAAAGGTGGGGAAAGAAGCCAGATGTCAGTGAGCTGAGGAGTAAAAGGGAAATGAGGACATGGAGAGCTGGCTGTGAGGGGAAGGGGGTCGGGGGTGATAAAGGGAGAGAAAGGAAGGGACAAGGAGAGGCAGAGGAAAGGAGAAGGCAAAGGAGGTAGGGAGAAAGACGGGAGGGCAGGAGGGACAAGTAAGGCAGCTTCAGACCAGACAGGCAGGACCAAGCCCCAAGGACTCCTCACCCCATCTTACTCTCCCTGGGCTGCTGTTCTTGGCATCGTGAACAGACCACCCTGCAGTTTGTTTTGGCTGTTTCAAAAGCCTACAAGTTAGCTGTTAAACTCTATGTGTGTGTGTGTGTGTGTGTGTGTGTGTGTGTGTGTGTGTACACACCTGGGAGATTCCAACTCTCGTTTCTCTTATGGGCACTATTTATACCTACAACCCTTATGAGACCCTAGAGCCCAGAGTTCTCCAGAACGGTGACCTTATGTCCCCCACCTAAACGCACATTCCTTCAGTGAGTTTATAATAAAGAACACCAGAGCTCAGGGCTGGGGATTTAGCTCAGCGGCAAAGCGCCTGCCTGGCAAGCGCAAGGTCGTGAGTTCGGTTCCCGGTACCGGAGAAAAAAAAACCAAAAAAAACAAACAAACAAAGAACACCAGAGCTCCCTCTCCACTTTCTGTGGTCTGAAAAGGAGAGGAGGAGCTTATCAGACAGAGTAGTTATGTAATTTAAAGGTAAACACATCCTGAGGGCAGAGTGTATAACTTTAGTGGTACTGACTTTAGCTGCTTAGAAGCCTGTTTAGCTTACTTCAGGATTTTATCTGGCCTCTGTACAGTTGCAATAATAAACAAATGAGTTGTAGATAATGTCCTACCACGCTGTCTTCATTATCTCTCCTCAGCCTGGCTGTACGTCTGCTTCAGGAGCATTTAGCGATCACTTCCACATACCAAGCATACCGAAATCCTTCCCTTTCTAATTTGCTGACCTGGTGTCTCCCTCCAGCCAGTATCCAGCTGCAGACGTGGTCAACTTTGGCACCTGGTTCCTCTTCAGCTTCCCCATATCCCTCATCATGCTGGTCATCAGCTGGTTCTGGATGCACTGGCTGTTCCTCGGCTGCAAGTGAGTCCCCCACCCGGCCAGCCAGGCACCGCGGCTCTGCTATCCAACCAAAGGCCGCGGCACCATCCTGGAGGCCTCTGCTCCCCGCAGGGCTGCTGACAGCGCAGTGAACCCGTGCAGACTTGGTCTCTTCCTGTCACTCTGCTCTCCCCTGCATTCTGCACTTCACTCCAGGCTCTACAGTGAAATATTCTTAATTCGAAGTCATGGGTTAGAGGACCTGTATGATTTATAAAAGTCTGGATTGGAGAGTGTTTAATGAAGTTTCATGCTCTCAAAGATATGCAATAATTTCAAGTACGCTTAGAAATACGACTCCTAGTAAAAGTCATGTTAGGTTTCATTTTATAGACAAATTTTAAATTTGGACTTTATGTATGGAATATGTTCACATACCTCAAAATAACAAGTTATACATATCCCTTGGGATATTGTTTCTGATAATAATCTGTTTAGGAAGCCTTTTCTTCATATTCTCCATTTGATCAAACACTTTAAGGGAAGATGAAAGTGACGCAAAACAGCCCATAGAGCCCAGAACTCCACTGGTCAAGGAATGTCCTCTGGGCTCACTTCTTCCTTACTCAGAGACTGCTGTCACATGGGTGATGGCTGTATACGTGGGTAGCTCCAATACTGTGACATCAAACTAACACCCACTTCTATCCCAGACAAGCCTCATCTCTAGACAAATGAATGTCTGCACATACATACATACTCAGGTCTGCGTGTGGGGGACACAGACACATACACGCGGACATGCACACCATAGATTCTTTTACTTATGAACAAGACAAGCAACCCCATGTATTATACCCATGCACAAGTCCCTAGATATCGCCTAGAGACGGGCACAGACGGACAGGCCCAAAAGGCTGGGCGAAGGTGGGTGGGAGGCTGGGTGACTGGGCAGATGGAAGCAGTGAGAACAGGAGAGGAACGGAGGGACAGAATGAGCAGGAGAAAGGTGACCACAGTGGTGGGTGGTTTAGAAGTGACTTATCCGTTCTCCTCGGGGCCTCAGAGTCATGCTTTCCCCACGCTTTGTTCATTGTCCCCTCTCAGCTTTAGAGAGACCTGTTCTCTGAGTAAGAAGAAGAAGACCAAGAGGGAAGAACTGTCAGAGAGGAGGATCCAGGAGGAATATGAGAAGCTGGGAGACATTAGGTAAAAGTCATCACAACCCTTTGCCCCTTCTCCGGGACAGAGGCACAAGCAGCCATGTTCTTGAGAGCCTTGATCCCAGGGGAAGGTCCCACAACTACAAGTCCAGGTGCTGAGAGATCCTACTTGATGCCAAACTCAAGCTGGCCCAGATTTCAGTGGCTGCCTGTCTCCTAGGCTGTACTCCGAGTCTGAGGTGTAGCCTTGGCATAAGGGGGAACCTACGGATGGGGCAGAAGGAAAAAAAACCAACAGAAAGACGGAACAGCCCTCCTCTTGGAATTTGCTGGTTTCTGCCCTGTGTTACTCAAACGGGTCACTTCAGTGATTCTGCGGTCACTCCTAGGTGCTGGGGGACACGGTGGTGTATTTTTTGCTTTTGTTTTTGTTTTTTGAGAAAGGGTCTTGCTACTAACCTCAGGTTGGCCCTGAACTCAGTGTAGTCCAGGCTGGCCTCAAACCTGCGGTGATCCTCCTGCCTCTGCCTCCCAAGTGCTAGGGTTACAGGACTATGCCACCACACCCAACTTGGTGCAGACTTGAAGACAGAAAGTCTAAGAAATCACTAAACACCCAGGCACTGTGGCACATGCCTGTAATCCTAGCTACTTAGGAGGCCAAGGCAGAAGAATTATAAATTAGTGGTCTACCTGGGCAACTTGGGGAGATGCTGTCACAAAATGAAAAATAAAAAGGACTGAGGACCTAGCTAGGGGGTACAGTGGCCCCTGGGTTCCAGTACAGCCAAAAAAAAAGAAAGAAAGAAAGAAAAAGAAAAAAGGAAAGAAAAAGGAAAAAGAAATCACTAACCAATCCTCAGCCACTTCTATCAGCATTTACATAGTGATTGAGCATTTTATTTAATGTTATTTCTCCTTATACAGCAATTGACATGTACAACTTTGGTTAAACACAATTCTGGTAGAAACTTGTTCTTTAAAGCTTTAAAGTAATAAAAAGGAATACATGTTCACTGTAGAACTTTATAAAATACATGACAGTATAAGAAAAAAAGTTAAAATTAATTTGGATTCTTTAGCATCCCAGTATTAACTGTTCACACCTGTTAAGATGCTATTTCTTTCCACCCTTGCCTGTGCAAAATTACATCTTTTTGGTAAAATTCACACTGAACGTAGTTGTATATCCTGCCTTTTCTTATTTAACCTGTACTGTTACTATGTCCCTATAGTATTAATTCTGCTGTGGAACACATTCTTGATGAATACATCCCACTGTAACATACACGGTAGTTGTACAAAAACGTGTTCAGGGTCACGGAGTATTATTAAACAACAAAAGGACTGTTTCCATTTTTAATGGGTAACACTTCAGCATCCATTTCCAGTTATTGTCTTAGATGAAGGGAATGACCTAATCTAAGGCTCCTGATGCACGGTCAAGTGGTCTCCGGAAGACTGTCTGGCTTCCTCCTCCCCGCTGCACAGTGTCTGAGGGTGCTCACTGCCGTCACCTCCCCACAGGCTTTAGGTGACATTGTTTGATAACTGCATACTGTGTTTTTTCCCTTCCTGCCCAAATCTCTCCGGGAAAGATGGTGAATGCCGCTCAGTCAGTTCTCTTCCCACTGCACTGCCAGCCACTCTGATGGTTAAGCAGTGACCGCTTTATGTCTCGAGGCTTGAAATTATGAATCCAGGGGCTTCCAGAAGTAAACGGCAAAAGCTAAAAGGAACTCCCCAGTTCCTGGAGCAGGCCTTTCTGTTTTATTTTATAGCTACCCTGAGATGGTGACCGGATTTTTCTTCATCCTGATGACTGTTCTGTGGTTTACCCGGGAGCCTGGCTTTGTCCCTGGCTGGGATTCTTTCTTTGAAAAGTAAGTGATACGGTTTCCTCCTTGAGAACCGCCTCCTCAACCACACTCCTCAAGCAGTAACCACCAGCTGGTGCCCCATGTCCACAGCATTCAGGGCAGACACAAACCAAGAAGCCTTTGTCTCCTGAGAAACCTGCTCTTTCTAGAGAAGCAGCAGTGTGAAGTCAGGAAGGAAGCACAGTGTTTGGAGTCCCCTTCAGCAGCTGGAATCTGGTGCTGCCACTGCTCAGCTGTGGGCCTTAGTCTTCTTACACAAGCTCCTGGAAACTCAGCTATCTCGCCAAGACACCAAGACACTAGCCATTGCTGTGAGTTACAAGGAGAAAAAGTGCATAAAGTGCCGCCTGCAAAGGGACTTCCAGAGCTGAAGCTTTGGAAGGAAGGAAACACCAGGAGAGATACACACCTCTTCCGGGCCACTCCTGCCCATGGCCCAAGGGCCCAGGCCCCCAGGCGCAGATGGAAATTCTCCAAGCACCAGCTTCTTGTCTGAGGAGGGACACACAAGGAGTGTGACCCCACAGAAAAGGAGGTTCAGGCTTCTCTGCTATTCCTCATCTGAACAGCTCTTGACCACTGCTTCTAGGCCTTGCCCCAGCTCACAGCCCCATCGGCTCCCACTAAGACATGTCCGCTCACCAGGCCCGGCACCAAGACACTAGCCATTGCCTGTGACTCCACAGGACACTATGGCAGCAGCTGGGAAGAAGCCAGGTTGCTGTCACCCTTAGACTGGGTCCCCAAAAGAGGCACTGTGTTCAGATAGGCTGCCCTGAGACTCGACTCACTCCCGAGGGCCCAGCCCTCCTGCTCCAGCCATGCTTGTCTATTTACTAGGAAAGGCTACCGCACGGATGCCACAGTCTCCGTCTTCCTTGGCTTCCTCCTCTTCCTCATTCCAGCCAAGAGGCCCTGCTTTGGGAAAAGCAGTGATGGTAAGAGAAGGCTCAGGGGAAGAAGCAGGGGAAGCCCAAGTCAGAATTTTCCAAAGGACACCCTTCAGCCTCCCTGAAGCAGCAGGGCTGTCTCCCAGATCCTCCAGTTCACCCACTAGCCCCCCCCCCGTCTCCACAAAGCACGCCAGGCGAGGCTTATCGGGCTCTCCACTGCTCTCCCACTGTGATCCAGGGACGAGCTATGAGTGTTCCCTGGGGATGGAGCCCATCATCACATGGAAGGACTTCCAGAAAACCATGCCCTGGGAGATTGTCATCCTGGTGGGAGGAGGCTACGCCCTGGCTTCCGGCAGCAAGGTAATCTTCAGTTCTGTTCTCCTGGGTCAAATGTTCGTCCCGAATGAAAAGGCTCAAAGCAGCTGAGCGAGAACACACGGTCCCAGGTCACGGCAAAGGACAGCAGGTCAGGACAGATGTTCTGTCCCTCCCGCCCTTCCCGGTGCTGCTGGGGACACAGTTCAGGTCAGCTGTGCCCTGGGTCAAGGACAGAGGCATTCATACCTCCTTTACAGGATCCACACTGCCACCAGCAAAAGGGTCACTGGGTTTTGCAGCCATCTCCTTCTGGGGTCTGACAGCAGGGACAGGCGATGGGTCTGCAAGGGGCCAGAGATGCCCCAAGTGCTGAAGTGGTAAACTGTCCTGCTGATCTATACATACAGACAGCACCTGCAATTTTTTTTTTTTTTTTTTTTTTTTTTTTTTTGAGACAGGGTTTCACTATACAGTTCAGGCAGGCCTAGAGCTCACTTCGTGGCCCAGACTGGCCACAAACTCACAGAGATCCTCCTGCCTCAGCCTCCCAAGTGCTGGGATTACAGGCATGTACCACCACACCTGGCCTCAGAGAATCTTTGCTGAAGCCGATGTAAAAATTTCTTGATTTCCCAGTTGGGGACACTCAGGGTCAGATCATTTTAGGGAGGCTAAGGGGAAATAGTTGAAGTCCCTAAAGTGTCAGCCCTTTCTGTAATAAGAACAATCCGAAGGATGAACTGCATTAAGATTCAGATCATTTCTCCTTCCCTTTGTCTACATGCATCAACCCATCCTAAATGTGGTTCACCCTGACTGCCCATTCACTGTGGGCCTGAATGTTGTCTGCATTACTGATCACCAAGTCACAGAATCCAACCCTGGGCAAGAACCTAAGAGGACGCTGAGCCCATCTCCTCCCCAGTGGAGCATTTCCTGCCAGAAAACCCTTGGGCTGGACTCCCAAGGGCCAGGGCACTCCCTGTGCAAAGCATAATTGCTTTCCATCTCAGCCCACTTGTTCTTTACTTTCTGTGTGTCATCCCTGTTGGCTTTGGCTCTATGCTTTGGTACCTTCTCCTAGGTAGTTAATTACTAAAATAAATACATTTACTACATTTTTTTTCCCCAAACAAAAGCTGATTGGCCCTTTTAACCATTCTTTTAGAAGGTTGCCCTCCTGGTCTCTCCCCTCAGGACTCACCAGTTTGCTTTGGTTTTATTCCAACACCATCCAGGATGGTCAGTGTGCTACAAAGTAGACTAGTTATTTTACCCAAGCCTGCCTCCCACCTCTGATGTAAGCACCACCTCAATTTTATAGAAGCTTTTGTATGGCTTCCTGGCATGCATGTCAACATCTCTATTGAAACTGCAGTTACTACAACCCCTCATTCTTATTGGTGGTCACTATTAAACCTTAATCATTTCAGTCTACCCTACATATATGCTGCCAATATTTCTAATTCCAAGAACAGGATATTATACTTATCTTTAATGAATTTCATTAGTTTTGGCCCCAGTCTAGCCCAGCAAGCCCTTTTTTCTTAATCAAAATCATGCATGTCTTACAGATACTACAGCTGCTGTCTCTATAAAACCTGTTGATTCTATTCATTTTAATGCTATAATAATTCAAGTAAAATCTATATGATTCTGAGTGTGAAATAATTCAGAGTCTTGGGACTAGTAAGGAAAATACAATGTGAAATGTTTTCATTACCAAGGATTTAAAAAATTAACATTTCCTGTGTTGTGTTTTTTCTAACTTTGCAATCTATCCATTCATTTCAAATTATAGTATAAAAGAGTTCTGCAGGAAAATTAACTTCCATGAAATCCCTTCACTTTATCTACTATTTGAAGAACTTGGTAAATAAAATTACTTTTTTTTTTTTTTTTTTTTTTTTTTTCATAAAATGTACCATTTCCACTCAGCTAACTGGTCTTCCCTCTTGCCTGTGACTAACAAGCAAGTTCCTGTGGGCTGCACGGTGCTGTACCGACCACAGAGTGGAACAGGGTCCACATACTCAGTCATGGAAAAAACAAAGGAAGAAAAGTTCTCCGTGCCGAAATGGCTACAACTGAGAGAACTCTGAGGGCCTTGAGCATCGGCTGTCTGTGAGCTTGCCATGAGGTAGTGAGGGTGCTGCAGAGATCCAATGAACTTGTGAGAAGCTTAACAAAGAGCCTGCAGATAGTGTGGTGAGAGTGATCTCGAGGAGCAGGACTGACAGCTGGAAGGATCACAGCATGTCTCACCTTCCTTTCTGCCCCTACCTTCCATAGCTTCATTGCCTTTGCAGTCTCTAAGGGAACTGTTCGAAGAGTCCATACAAGGGAGAGGAGGGAGAATACATATGGCAACCTGAGGGTTTTTAGCACAAAAACTCAATAGTAGCTGAACTTAGAGCACACACCTGTAATCCCAGCACTCTGGGAGGCTGAGGCAGGAGGATCACAAATCCAACCCCAGCCTGGGCAACTGAGCAATTTAGTGAGATTCTGTCTCAACAAATTTAAAAAGAGCTGAGATGCAGCTCAGTGCAAAGGCCCTCGGTTCAATCCAAGCCCCAGTACCCAAACAAAAACCTCAGTCCTTCATTTTTTAGGAGACAAGGGGTAGCCCTCACTATTAGCAGATGGACATCTTTCAACCCAAAGAATTATTCCAAATGGAAATATTATTTATCTGAGTGAATAAATGTTGCTACTGAAAAACATTCAATCTTCCAAAAACAGTGGCAGCCACTGTGGGACTTGAACCTGAAACAGGCTGGGGCCGAGCAACCATGCTGTAGGCAAATGAGGCACCTTTGCCAGAAAATGGAGATAGACTTCTAATCCCTCACCCTTTGTTACACATGAGCAACGTTCAGTGTTCAGCTCTGCACACCCCAAAAATGAACACAAGAAAAACTGCTATCTAAAAAGGCGGGTAGTTGGACCCCCCCTTAGGTGATGAAAGAAATGGAATTCAAAAGCAGAAGAAAGGATGAACTGGGCATTCTGTGGAAAGGGCACTGTAGAGCTGATGCATAGAGCAAAGAAGGCAGGCTGGAGAGGAGGAGACTGACAATGAGGGGTAGAGTGGAGGAGCAAAGACCTCCAACCCCTGCCTAGCCAGAGTCCTAGGAAGGGAAAAGGCACCCAAAAACTGAATGAGACAAAATCACAGGAAAGACATTTCTGGGCCACAAAACTGACTGAATCTAAGAGGAGGCTGCCCCTGGCTCCTGTCAGCCTAAAGCCCGAGTGGCCTCTTCCAGCTAGCACTTCTGACCCGTGGGAGGCTGAGAATCCACCTGGAATGTGCACTTCTCCCTGACCTCTTACCTGAACGCCTCTTCCTGCAGAGCTCTGGCCTCTCCACATGGATTGGGCAGCAGATGCTGTGCCTGAGCAGCCTCCCACCGTGGGCTGTCACTCTGCTGGCATGCGTCCTGGTGTCCATTGTCACAGAGTTTGTCAGCAATCCGGCCACCATCACCATCTTCCTGCCCATTGTGTGCAGCCTGGTGAGTAGAAGCGGGGAGGGCTGGCTCCACGGCTGAACCCTCTCCTCTGGCCACTACCCACAACTTTCCCTCACTGACGCTCAAACCACAGTTTGAAGTTTGTCAAATGGCAAACACATAAGAAGGCACATTAATAAATCACAGCAAAAGTTTTAGAACCTCATCCCCAAAAGAGGAGTATTAGTTCAAGGGCAGTCCTGAATGGAAACAGAAGAATGGACACAACAACCTTCAAGCCCTAACGTTGCATTTCTCCATACTCATCAACCTTTCTCTCCTGAGATGAAACCTAATGGTAGGCCCAGAAAGATAACCACAGAAAATGGGGCAAAATGCACAGCTGCAAACACCAAGCGCATGGGTCTAACAATCACTGCCACTCCACCCAATTCCACTGTGCCTTGGGAGATTCTGAGCACTGGGAACAAGTCCAGCAGGTCAGTTTCTTACCGATGGAACAGGAGAGGGCACCACCTGCCAGATCTTAGCCTGGCGAAGCAGCCCCAAAGGTAATGCCCAAGCTGTATCTGTCCCTTTGATAAAGTGGAATCCCCAGGAAAACAGACTCCTCATGCTCCTTCTAACTCCAAACTCTCCAGCCACTCTCTGCTCACAGCTCAGTGTCTTTAATTTCTCCTGTCTGTCATCTTGCTGTGGGAGCACCGGAGTACATTTAGTGAAAACGCAGTGACACTGAGACCAACACCATGGGTTCAGTCCCAAACAAAGCAATTTATTTTCCCCAGGAAAGAACCCTCAGCTCTGCACCCCAAGGGGGAGGGAGCCTGGCTTCAATCAAAGCAGCTTATGTGAGAGAATTTTGGTTGAATAAAGGATTTCTCACTAAAGAATAAAGTTTAAATTGGGTATGGTGGTGCAAGCTTGTAATCCCAGCCTCTTGGAAACTAAGGCAGTAGGATCACAAATCTGAACCCAACCTGGACAACTTCGTGATTTAGCAAGACCCTGTCTCAAGACTAAAAATAAAAAGACCTGGAGATGTAATTTAGTGTGAAGGCCCTGGGTTCAATTCCAAGTACTGCAGAACAAAAACAAAAACAAGAAAAGGAGGAAAAGAAAGAAAGAAGGAAGGATGGAAGGAAGGAAGGAAGGAAGGAAGGAAGGAAGGAAGGAAGGAAGGAAGGAAGGAAGGAATGGAACGGGAGGGAGAGAGGGAGGGAGGGAGGAAGGAAGAGAGAAAAAACAAAAACAAACTTTAAAAACCACTTCCTTAACATAGCACCAAAAAGTCAAACATCTCTAGAATTATCTGAGCTTCTGTGGGCCGTGAGTGAGCAGCAGGGGCTCATTCAGGTCGCCAAGAACACTGCACATCCCGGACGACAGGGATCTTACTAGCCCCAGCTCACAGTGCCCAGCTAAGGTTACCCAACCCCAAGCCACCATTTAAATAAAGCATGTTCGTGCACAAGAGATGTGGGCCCAATCTCAAAGTTAACGTTTCTGTGACTTCTCTCTTCTCCTAGTCCGAAACGCTGCACATTAACCCACTCTACACCCTGATCCCAGTCACCATGTGCATCTCCTTTGCAGTGATGCTGCCAGTGGGCAACCCCCCCAACGCCATCGTCTTCAGCTATGGGCACTGCCAGATCAAAGACATGGTGAGTAGTGGGCGCCCTCTCCTGCAGGCCCAGTGCCTTGAGGGTAGGGATGACTGGCCACACAGCGGTCTTCTGAAGTTCACTGTTTTGTAGCAGTAGCCTGGTCTATTGACACTCTGTTTTACTGTGGGAGAACAAATGGTACCTGTGAAAGGCTCTTGGTTGGTCCACAGCTCTTAGAATAGCAGTAATGTGTTCTCCCCACCCTTACCCACATGACAGTGGGAATGCAGAGAGAAGCTGGAACGGGCATAGCAGAGTCCAGTTCCAGGAGGCATGGGAAGGAAGGAAGGAAGACACATTCTTTTGTTTCTACACAGTAGGAGAGGGGACAGTTACTCCCACATCTACTGGTTTATCCACAGAAGATGAGGAGTAAGAAACTGTATGACACAAGGCCGAAGGTATTTTATGCAAACAGGCTCCTTCGGTTAGGTTTTCCCGTAAGGCCTGAGGCAAACGAGGCCTCTATAGTGCATTTCCTTGCTCTCAGCAGGGCTCCACAAGATGGCCTAAAGGAAACACTCTGCCGTTGACCTTAGTACTATGTGTATCTACCTCCACCTCCCCCAGCCTACACTCTCTGGGTGCTCTTAATACCCTGGGCTGACAGGTGCTGGAGCAGGGATAAGCAAGCTGACAGAAATCACTGAGGCCTGCCCATCTGAAAATCTGCCCTTGCTGAAAGTCAGCCTGTGCAAATTTGTTTTGCACAGTTCAGTCATTCTCAACAGCCCTATAAAATATCAAATAAAGGAAAGGAAGAAACAGTTTGAGGCTGGTGGCAGATATTCCTGTCCTTTCACCAAACTGCTCAACCAACTCATGGGTGCTACTTCAGGGACAGGAGGCCAGGCCATCTCTCTTGCTGCATATAACCTTCTGGCGGCGCACACTGAACTCTGCTTCCCACTTCTGTGCACCCCCACCACCCAGCCTCACCCTGCTTCCTGTGCTGGAGTCTAAAGAACAAACAGTGCCTGTCTGAGGCACTGAATGACAAGAAACCAGGCTGTCCTGGGTCCTAGTCCTGGCTAGGACACTAACTCCAGCTTCGATTTCCTCATCTTGCTAAACGAGGTCACAACTGAATACTCACTGTGGTCCCTTTGAGCTCTAAAGGACCTTCGTTAGCTCCTGAGAACCTGCCCCCTCAGCTGCTGGGAAGCACGGGCCACTGTCCACGCGACAGGCCCAGGGGCCCAGGATGATGGAGAAGTCCAGGCTTCCAGTCAGAGGCAGGAGAGGACATGTCAGTCGTTTGTCTGAAACAGTTTCCCAGCCTGTTTTCCTTCCTTGCAACTTTCCCAGTTTAATGCCAGTTAATGGACCAGTCTGGCTACACTCTGTATACTTGGTTACTTCCTGGAAGGACATCAAGCTGTCCTTCCTGCACACATTTTTCCATCTGACCCTGGCTCGGCCAGTCCACAGGCTCTCATAACCCGCTCCAACTGCATCAATGCCATGGCAAACAATGGGTTAGAGTCACTGAGGTGCACTTCCCCCAAAGAGGCCAGGGAAGCTGGCAGGCTTGTGTCAACTTCCTATAGAGCAAGTGGCACAGGCAGCTGACCTGTGACCCTCAAGGTGCCCTATTTCCCTAAGCTGCTCCTTGGAAGGGTAAAAGGTACTAGTGGCAAAGCCTTCATATAATACAGCCCTTATGTTAATTAACTTTTCCTCACTGATCAATAACCAAGAAAAATTACCTAAAGAAGTAGAGGTCTAGGATGGCTTAAGGATCCAGCATTTCAGTCCATGGTCAATGGTTCCATTATTGTGAGCCTGAGGTGAGATAGAAGGATATGAAACAAAGCTGCTCTCACATTATGGCAGCCAGAAAATACAGAGGGAAAGAACCAGAGGAAGAAGCCTGGGACCAGTAGAATCCCCAAGATCACAAGCCTGATCACTCCCTTCAACTCGGTCCCACCTCCTACTACCATCACACTGTGATCTCATCAATAGGTTAATCCGTGATGAAGGCTGAGCCCTCATGATCCAGGCATTTCCCCTAAAACTTGTCAGCAACCAAGCCTTTAGCACAAGAGTTTTTGGGGACACATCAAATCCAAACTAACACCCCTCCTAAAATTTCATGTCTGTGAGCACAGAAAAAGCTATGAGTTCTTGCTTTAAAGAGATATTTATGTTACCACGTGTCCCTACAATTTCACTGCAGATATATCTCTTACCATTCCAAGATCAGTGTCCCAAGTAAATGTTCACTGTATACTGAATGCTGCTGGCAAGAAGTGCAGATGATTGCCCTGTGTCAGCCCCAATCCCCCTGTCTCATCTTCCAGAATCTTGTCACCTGACAAGGCAACAAGAGCAGCCTAAGTAGTGACTACAACAGTCAGGACCCCCATGGGTGCAGCAAGGCCGAGGCTGGGAGCCTAGATATGGCTCTCTTGGGGACATGTGCTGCTGCCTGGTCATGGTGAATGGGGTGTGCCATTGGCTTGTGTCTGCAGGTGAAAGCTGGCTTGGGAGTCAACGTCATTGGCCTGGTGATAGTGATGGTAGCCATCAACACCTGGGGAGTTAGTCTCTTCCACCTGGACACCTTTCCAGCCTGGGCTAAGGTCAGTAACATCACTGATCAGGCCTAACACCAGTGGACAAATTGGTCAGGCCAAACGAGCTGTACTTGGCCATATCTGCACCACAAAGAAAGCCACCAGCACACCCAGGCCCAGGCTAGAGGGCATTTCCGCCAGAAGACCTGCCATCTACCACCTTGGCCAAGAGCAGGGGTCCTCCAGCCACCACAGCCACGCGCTTGGCTGTGGGGGTCTTCCCCTCCACCCACCTGCCTTAGCACCATCAGTCAAGAACACCCCAAAATCTTCTCTCTTCTGTGTGTCTAGTCCTCCCAATTGACTCTAAAGCTGGAAAAGGAAGAAAGCCAGTCTTACTTGCCCCTCAGGGGCAAAGCTTCATAAGCCGACCAGCCTGCCCCTAGGGTTTACGTAAGATGTTCTTAGGAGTTGAAGGAGCTACCCAAATCGTTCTGGCTTTGCAGTGAAAACAGTGAGATCTCCCTTGGGAAAAAGCTTGACCCAGAACTCAAGCCATCTCAATTGTTTCTGTCATAAGGTTTCTCCACAAAAAAGCAATTCTTAGCAGGTCCTTGTACTCTTATCACTATTCTGAATCCATCTTAAACAGCTCTCTTCAATGGCTCCCCTCGACCCTGGCATGCAACTCTGTAAAGAAAATGTTCCCCTTGAGAAAGAAGCTGGCAATATTTTCTTTGTCAAAGGAAAAACAGAGAAAAGACACTGGGATTAGCCTTTCTCTCTACCCATACTAACCAGAAATACCATTGTCTGGCCAAGTATGGGAAAGAGGAAAAACTTTATACCCGTCTTACTGGGCAGATTAAAACTACACTTAAGACCACAGCACTATTATTACTATTATACTGGCTTGTGGTTTTAATGAGTACTTCCTAGCCTAAAAAGACAAAAGTAGTATTGAGGTCCAATCACTTCCTACATGTGAGTGAGCCCTTTGAGAGGATGGAGATGTCTATACTTCTTTGAGTCTGCCTAGGAAACACCTACCATGTAATAAGGCAGGGCTGAGGACTTAGCTCAGTGGTAGAGTACTTGCCTACCATGTGCAAGGCCATCAGTTCGATCTACAGAACTGCAAAAAGAAGGAAAAAATGTAGTGTTGTTAAGACGTAGCTGCTCAATACATGTCCCTGATGAGAAAAATCAATGCCAAGCAAGGCCACTTCCTTCTTTCTGCAGAAGACCACGGCATTTTCATTGCTGGAGACAGCTCCTTCTCCAGTTTGCTGCCATTATGTATTTCTGACTGCAACCATCAACTGCTTGCTAAATATGTCTTAGGGAAAAAGGAGTGCTCCATAATTATTGTACTGTATTAATTGACTTTAAATTGCTACTGATAGCATGTGCAGTTTCCTCACAATAACTTATGTATAAAATCACACTTTTAGTTGGTCAAGTGAGTATGAGTTGCAACACTTTTAGGCCAGTCAACATACACACTCTCCAACTACAGAATGTGACTGAACAGCTTTAGTCAGGAGTGTTACTGCTTTTACCCTGTTGATTGGCTTAGCCAACATCAGGCCAATATTATAGTACAGATCGTGTAAAACCAAAAGAAATACCAGGGTTAGGCATGCTACAGTTGGTTTGATCGAGCCAGCCTCCCTAAAGTTGATTTACTTCAACAGGTTCAAGAGTCAAGGTGTTTCTGCTGTTGTCAGGTGAACCACATCCCATGTGTGAACCATTACTGAACTCAGACTCTAAGCCTGTAAGTCAGACAATAAACAAGGCACAGACAATCTGTAAGATTCTGGGAACATTGTAAGAAACAGAGAAAGAAAAGCTGACATAGAATTAAGTGCACTGAGAATTACTGGTCACTGTTCAGCTGTCTGAGCCTGAGTCACTCCTGAAGGGAAGCAGTGCCAGCTCTGTCTCAGCAGCTGCTGCCAGGGCTCCCTGAGCTGGTGTTTCACTACTGTCTGCTCCATGGGCCACCCTCAGGACCACCAATGTTCTTCAAACAAGACTGCCCAGGCCGGTCACGGGGGATGGCAGTCCCATCACCTAGAGTCACTCCGCTGAGGGCCACCTTCTAGCCCTTCTTAGTAGTCTCTTGGTGTCAGGATTGGATTTTTATCTTCTAACATTGTACTGTATGTTAGAGCTCTACATGGTCATCTAATACCAGCTCACCTTCCAGATGATGAAACTGAGAGCCAAAGACACTAAATATAGCTGCACTTAATCCTCAAGTTAATTATGTATCAACTTTGCTTAGTCAAAGTTGCCTTTGAAATTTCACCAAATCGCCCATAAAGACATGGCATCCAATCTTTTGCACTGGTATTTATATGTCACAAACCTTCACTGTCATCTTTCAATTTTTAAAATCGCTACTTTTTCCACTATCAGCATAGATCCGTTTCTTTAGATGAACATCAAGTAAAGTACAGCTGGGTCCTCTGGACCTACAGATTCTGCATCGGGGGTTCAACCAACCTCCAATCAAAAATATTCAAAAAGAACTGCATCTGTACTTGAAGTATTTTGTCATTTACATAGCATTCACACAGTATTGGATGTCGTAAGTAATCTAAAGGGTACAGGAGGATGTGCACAGGTCAGATGTGAATACTGTGCCACTGCATGTAACAGACTAGTGCATCTGCACTTTGTGGTATCCAGGGGGGTGCAGACAGAGAGCTGGAACTAACTCCCTGCAGCTAAAGCGGGACCAGCACGGCTGGCTGCGGACACTGGGACCGTGTTCTTTGAAACACTATCTCCACACACCAGGACCTCTCAGTACTGCTAGATGCTCGGCACAACAGAACACGAAGGCTAGTGAGTGGACCTGAGAACACAAATGGCTCATGCTGAGGCTGCCCTTGCTGAAGGACCGCTGGGCATAGCTCCTGTGCTGTGTGCATGGTCCCTCTGTCCCAGCCATGTACCTGTGCACACCTATGATGCAACTGCATACCTTTCACATACTCCTACCACCAGTGCTTGTGGCATTCTCGGGGCCTGTGTTTTATAACACCCCTGCCCCGGGCACTTTGCGTAAAACTTCCTTCAGCTCTTTCTTATATCCCAGTGCCTTGCACAATATGCCATCTGTTAGGGCTTTGGCTCTTGACTGAATACATTGCAACCAGACTTAGGAAAGATAAAAGCTGAACACTTGAAATTCTAAGTGCCACAAATCCCCTATTAAGACTAGGCAAAGGGGCTGGGGATTTAGCTCAGCGGCAAAAGCGCCTGCCCGGCAAGCGCAACGTCGTGAGTTTGGTTCCTGGTACCGGAGAAAAACCAAAAAAAAAGACTAGGCAAGATTAAAATTGAACCCATATCTTTCACCATGCACTAAACTAAATTTGAAATGAATCAAAGATATATTAAAACAGAAACATTAACTCTGCTGGAAGACAGAATAGGTAAAACTCTTGAAGACATTGGTGTAGGCAGACTTTATAACTAAAACCCCAATCACCCAGGAACTATCACCAAGAATCAACTACTGGAATCTCATCTTATTAAAAAGCTTCTGCACAGCAAGGGAAATCACCAACAGAGTGAAGAGATGACTCACAGTGTGGGAATAGAAGTTTGCCAGATGTTGCTCAGACAAAGGATTACTATCGAGAGCAACCCATTCGGGATCTCTCCTGTCTCTCAGGAGCTATTCCCATTCCCCACTCCCCCATTCCTGTTCTCTAATAAATTTTCCTACTCTTAAAAAAAAAAAAAAAAAAAGGATTACTATCAAGAACACATGAAGAACTAAAAAAAAAAAAAAGCCCTCCCAAATTTAAAGACCTGATCCAAACATGGGCATCTGAAATGAATATACACTTTTCAGATGAATACAAACAGCAAATATGAAAAATGTTTAACATCACTGGTCATTTGAGAGATGCAAATTAAAACAACAGTGAGATTCTATCTCACCCCAGAAAGAATGGCTATTATCAAGAAATCAACCAGAGGGGCTGTAGGGAAAAAGGAATCCTTCTCCACTGTTGGTGGAAGTGTAGACTGGTAAAACCACTGTGGAAATCAGTGTGGAGATTCCTCAAAAAACTAGGATTGGAGGTCCCACTGGACCCAGCTATTCTGGGTATCTTACCATAATTAAAAACATAATTAAAAACATCATACCACAGCAATATATGTGCACCCACATATTACAGTAGCATAATCTGTAATAGCTAGATCTTGGAAACAACTCAAATGCCCATCAACTGAGGAATGGATAAAAAGGATGTGATCTTTTAATACAATGGAGTACAGCTCAGACATAAAGGATAAACTGTAGACTTTTATAGGTAGATGGATGTAACTTGAGACCCTATTCATAGGTGAAATAAACCAGACACATGTATAAACATCATATTGTCTCCCTAGTATGAGAAGCTGAAAAACTAAGATCCAAAATGTACAATAAATATTGTAAAATGGGAAGAAACTTCAAAAGGAAAAGGGAACTGGGATGCAGGAATGGAGAAAGGAGAAAAGCAAAAAACAAAAACAAAATAAATATATATATGTAAGATAGTTAAGATAGTTATACTACTAATTTCTCTTAATTCATTGAAAAAAAGGTTTGTGCTAATATTGTTTGGACAATTAAATGCTGATATCTTGTACTCTGAGTAACTAATGTAAAGATAACAATACACAATGTATTAACCACTGTTACCCTATTACCTTGTTTTGAAATTTTATTTTTCTCTTTAAAATTTAAAAACAAAAAAGACCAGGCAAGGTCTCTAAACATTTTCCCTTCACCACCCTGTTCCTTTCCACAAGGCAAGGCCCTAATAGTAAGGAAAAAAGAACTCATTCATCTATGCAAGAAATGGAATTGCTATGTGCAAAACCCAAGACTGGCAGTTAAAGAAACATCTCATTTGCTCCAGTACGTTATACAGCGTTCCTCCAGGAGGAACAGCTCAGAAAATGCATTTAAAATGTGGGAGATCTGAGCAGAAGAACAACAGCACAGTGTCTAGGGAGGGAACCGTAGGGTGGAAATGAAAACATTACACATGTGGCCATATGCTCTATGACCTATATGCACAGACAACTAGGAAAATCACAGCTTTTCTCTGTATTCATGTGACTGAGAATTACTGAGTTGGAAAAAAGGAAATAAATTATTCCTTTAAATCAAAAGCAGATACATTATTTAATTTCATAAAACAAATCAGAAGAAAAAGTCTAAAAATACTGTCAACTTCAACTCGTAAAATTTTGCTCTTTTATTTTAAATATGGTTAATTTCTTTCCTTCTCCTTTGCTTGGGAGGATTAGTTTTAAGCCCTTCAGGTCAATGTGTTTATTAAGTTTCCAAAATTAATCCCGACACATCAGAGTAACCTACAGTATTTTCAGTAACCCTCCTTTTGTAGTGATATGGCAGCAAGTTTTCTTAAATCACATCAATAGTTTTCAAATATTTTTTAAGGGAAAGCAAAGGGCACATCGTGGTGGTCCTTCTTCCTATTGCTCTATTCCTCTATGCAGCAAGGGTTCCTACAAGTCCCCATCACAGTCTCCATAAACCCATCCAACACCTTAAAACCCATGACGATTCTACGTTCTTCAAATATGCATCTCAGCATAGATTATCTTGCCTGAGAACTGTGAACTTCTTTCCACTGCTTCAAGAATGTAAAACTGGGAGGGAATCTGAATGGTGGGCATGAAGTCAGCCTGTTTGGCTATGTGTGCTGATTTGTGAGGTGAAGCTGAACTTAAGGACTGATTTGCTGGATGGTACCGCTGGTAGAAATGACTTTATTATCAGCAAAGGTATGTGTCACTCCTGAGGAAGCCCTACATCCAGGAGAGCTGAGACTACAAAGTATGACATAAAGAGACCTCATCTTCTAAGTGACCGGTGCCCACCAAGCAGCAACTCTGGGAGACCACATACATAGTAGCACTCCTTTCACAGCTGAAAATAAGGATCTTTTTTGAAAATAGCTTGCTAAGTAAGGCTTGACACTTTGATTACCCTCAAAGGTGTTAAATCTTCCCCTTTGAGGCTGCAGTTCATTCTACTAACCTAGTGCTTCAAGATCAAATCTTGTGAACCAGGTGGTATGTCATGTATTTTCATCAATCTAGGAAACTAACCACAGAATCTAATAACATGTATTTTGCATGGTTCATGAACTGTTCCCATAGGTTACTGCAGAAATACAAGAAGCATTTTGGCCAAAAGCAGCATGTCTGGACTATATCTACTTACTACAAAATTTGTGTAACATTATGTACATTTGAATTATTTCTTATGAAAACCCTATGAATAGGCAGTACGGCCCCCTGTTACATAAAATGCCAGAGTTTCTCAAAGCACAGGCTGCTAGGGAGAGCCAAACCATATGAATCTCAATGTGTCTCACATACAAGGATGACTCATACAGGGATCCAACTTATCTCCATGTTTGAGAGATTCATGTTTTTAAAGGGAAGCAGAATCACTTTTATTTTACAATAATATACAAGATCAATGTGATCACTGTCTGCAAATAAAGTATTGTTAATTCTTTCAGTTTATCAGTTCAGCTAAAATTTCATCAGAAAGGCATTGTAGGTCAAGCTGCCCAATAAGCCTATTTGAAACAAAACACAGGGCTGGGGATGTAACTCAGTGTAGAGCACTTGCCTAGCATATGCAAGGCCCTGGGTTCAATCACCAGTACTTGAAGAAAAAAACAACTTTAAAAATATACTTAATGAAATGGACATTTACCTATACCAGTGCAAATTACTTTTATGATATTATCTTATAGTTATACTCTTCATAGATATGTTTAATACATTAGGTTCAATGTTATCACCATAACACCAAAGGAACAAACTAAACTTTAACTCATGGGGCTGGGGATTTAGCTCAGTGGCAAAAGCGCCTGCCTGGCAAGCGCAAGGTTGTGAGTTTGGTTCCTGGTACCGGAGAAAAACCAAAAAAAAAAAAAAAAACTTTAACTCATCAGTAGCAGATTAAATTACGGTATATCCGTTCAATAGAATCTTATGCAGCCCTAAACAGAATGAGGTTCCTTGTTCCTTGCATACTGGTATGGAATGATCTCCATTAATAACAGAAAAAGAAAGCTAGGCATGGTGGCACATGCCTTTAATACTAGAACTCTAGGAGGCTGAGAAGGGAAAATCCCAAGTTCAAGCCCAGCCTGATCCTGAATCAAAATAAAAAATAAAAGGGCTGGGGATACAGCTCAATGCAAAAGCACTGGCTTCAATCCCTAGTACCACCAGAAAAAAAAAAAGGAAGTGGCAGACAGACCTCTAGGTATGGTTTTTGATGATTTATACAGACAAAGCCTTGTGCATGTGTGTGTTAGGCACAGATTTCTTCTCAAAGCAAACAGGGAACTGGTAACAGTATGAGATAAGAGGAGGGCAGAGAAGGAAGACACCCTTTACAGAAAATCACTTTTGTATCTTCACCTATGGGAAAAGTTATGTTAAAATATTATTAATTACAAAACACAAGCTCCATATGATCCACACCTGTAATCTCAGCCCTCAGGAGGCTGGGGCAGGAGGATCACCATGAGCTCAGCCTGAGCTACATACTGAGTTCAAGGTCAACCTGAAATATGTAAGACCCTGTCTCCAAAAAAAAAAAAAAAGGTACAGACTAGCCACACTGTGCCTACAGTCTCTGCATCCAGGAAGCTGAAGCAGAAGGATCATTTGAGACATGAGTGTATCACCATGCCTGACAATAATTTATTTAATGTGGAAGTCATTAACATTTCTTTTATCAACTTTGTCATGTAATGTCAAGTGTACCTGTAACCCCAAGAATGATTCTTTTGAAGGAAAAGTCAGAACAAATACACCATTAAGGAAAAACATACATACTTCACAATTAACTATCAATACTACTGAGACAAAAAATATTACTTTGCATATTCTTTAATTCCTCAGCTATCAGATTCTTAGAAAATATTTTCTCAATTAATCAACAAAAAATTGACTTACTGGTGATCAACTATGGAGTTGCCAGACAGGAGTACAAAATAAATGGATAATTCACTAGAAACTGGGTTCTAGATATTAATTTTAATACTTTGAAACAAAAAGTTTAGTAACAAATGTTTAACAAGCACCCATTGTAATCACTAAACTGTGAATTCAGCATTATTTGTATCTGATCAGCTATACAACTTCGCAATTTTTCTTTTGACAAGAAACAGGAATCCCCAAAACAAGGTAGACACTACTAAATAAAGGTCATGTTTGCCAACCTAGCACCATAATTCCAGTCTTCGAGCCTCCTGAAGAGCTGGAAGGAAGACATGGAAAGATGTGAGGAGCTGAAATTGTGAAGAACAGTTCCTGATTTGGGGCCTCCGTTTTTGCTCTGAGGCAATGCAGTCTAGCAAAGAGGAAAATCACTGATGCTGGAGACAACACAGAAACTGTGGTAACAGAAGATCAGGGAGGCCGCTGCAGGGCAGGAGACAGTGTGTACAGAATGCAGGGCTGCAGCAGCCTTAGGAACTAGGGGGTTTCTTCTTGGCTTCCAGGTCCTTTTTAATCTCTTCAAGTTTTTTAGCCAGGTTTGGTATCTTTAAACAGAAAAAAGGATTATTATAATTTTGTATTTACCTACTAAATAGTCTTTGATTGCCCTTCCTCCAAGGATAAATGGTTTCACAAGTGTTTCTTTTCCTCTGAAGGAGACCTGCTTAACAGTGCTGTTTCCTAGCCTTTAATTGCATGTGAAGGATGGCAGAAGTTTTAAACTAGTGGTCCCTTTCTAATCAGACTGACTTTCACCTGCAGCGACACACTGAGCTCTCAATCCAGCTAAGTGAAAGCTGCACATATAAGCAGAAAATGTGATATAAAGTAACAAAGCTCCTAGAAAATCATGACTCAAAGGCTGACAAACAGAAAAGCCTTACCACACAAGTTCATATTTCCCTTGCTTGTCTGTTTAGAATACCTTCTAGAACCCTTACCCATGGGCAGGTGCACCACCTGATCTTCAGCTTCCCCATTACACATAAGCTTAATGCTGTGCTTCCCACTTCCCACTGTTCAGATCCACGTCCAAAATTCTAAGTCATGTCTCCTACTGGGCAAGGGAACTGAAAAGATCATCGATTAACCTTTAAACATTCACAGATCATGACTTTCCTCAGAGCCAACTTAGAATAACTCTGGACTAACACACACAACAGCTTAGGCTCCTTCTGAGACCACCTTAACCGATGGACTCTTGCCCTCTTGTGGTGATTTGTAGGACAGAGCTTCTGGGCATTAGATTATATTTTTCAAATACAGTACAATTTCAAATACAGTAGTATTTTTCAAATACAGTAGAATTTCTATAAATTTCTATAAAATTTAGGATTTTCCCCTCAGGTTTATGGCCTTAAACAAGTTACCTCAACAAAGAAAAGAGACTAACTGTGGAACAGTTACACAGAATCAAGGAAGAAATGAATATGGCCACTTACGTCATAGTTCTGAGCCAGGTACATTCCCACCACGTTGCCAAAAGTAAATCCAAGCTGAAAGAAGAGAACAGGAAGAGTCACACTGCACTGTGGGTCCAAACCAAGCACATGAACGTGTCTTCCTATGGGGCTCAGGACAGGTGAGGGAACCTGGCGTCTAGTCTAAGATAGAAACACATGAACAGTATCTTGCTGGGGGGCTCAAAACAAGCGGTTCCTGTGGGGCTTGCAACAAGTAAAGGGCCCTAGTTTCTAGTCTAAGATGGCATACAGGGTCTTCCTGTGGGGCTCAGGACAGGCCAAGAGCCCTGGTGTCTAGTCTAAAATGGAAACATATGAACAGTACCTTCCTGTGAGGCTCAGGACAGGTGAAAGACCCTGGTATCTAGTCTAAAATGGTGTAGAACATGAAATTATTTTTTCTTCTATAAAACAGAGACACACTCTCTCCCAAAAAGTTAAAGAGAATGAAAAAGAAAAAATGGCGACAATGAACAAACGTACCCCAAGTTCTTTCTCCCCTCGTAACTCAATATTTTTTCTTTCTTTGGTTATGAGTGCTATTCCTCTCTATATCAAATAAAACTAATATTCCATTAAAAATATATTCAGCTGAATAAGAACTTTAGAGAATGGACTCTCACAGTATAATCTCTTCATATTTCAAAGAGGAATGTACGGTCCAGGCTGGTAAACTGACTTGTCCACGGTCATTCACAACAGGGAGCACATGACAACCTACATTACATACATACTCAAAAGTAAAACTGTGCAATGACAGAAAGGAGTGGGAAAGTTCCAACACATCTCCAGCCTTAGCACTTCCAGGGTAGGGTCTTCAGGAAGAGGGCTCCACCTCAGTGACAGAGAGGTAGGCACAACTTTTAGAAAATACATTTACTCCACTGGGTGACTAATTTCCTGAGTAAATATCACTTAATGAAAATTCAGAGTATTCGTTACATATCAAGAGGGCTAAACCTCCTTAGCTCTGAGGTTTAATGATGGTCGTTTGGTTCTCCCCCTATTAATTAAAGAGCTTCCAATTAAAGCCTAATTTCTCATTTCATAAATTCAAATTGGCATTCACTTTTTTCATCATTTTGGGTAGTCAATTTTACTTCCGTGCAAACACAAGAGGCAGGTTACAAAAGAGAAAGCGTGGTCCTTAATACATTATCAATCAGACATGGTAGGGTCCACCCTTATCCTCAAAGTGGAGAATCCTTTGTGGGAGTGGAATACAACTTCTCATGCCTCCTTACTGTAATTCAGCTTTCTGAACTTTACACAGCAAAAGCATAATTTAAGTTGGTTTGGTGTTTGTTATGGCTGATACACTGTGTCAACTTGGGGAGTCTAGAAATTTGGCTAAGTAACTCAGCAGTTCTGCATCTTGGGGTAAAAAGGACATACCCCTTTCTGTGATGTTGTTCATTGTGTCAATCTGAGAAGTTTAAAAGGTTAACTATGTGACTCAGCAGGGCACCAGAGTGTTTACTTTATATTCATCCTGAGTCTGTGCAAGAGGAGGGCATAGAGATTATGTGAGTGCTACACACCCCCTGGGTGGAGGTAGCCTGCTTACAATATGAGAAAAAGAGGCTTGCTCTTCTCTGCCACTCCTCCCTTTTTCTCTTGTTTCTTCACTGTTCTGCTGCCATAAACTGCTGCCTTTTGCTATGTGCCACTCTGCTTTAGAGCCAGCCAAATATAGACTAAAACCTCCACACACTATAAGCTAAATAAATATTTCTTTCCTTCATTTTGGGCACTGGGTATTTTGTCTCAACAACAACCACAAAAAAGTAACCAAGATAGAACTTGGTAGCAGGAGTGGGGTTTGGCTCTTCAATCTCCAGTGTGCAGACACCCTCTGCACACTTTCTCATCCAACTCTGTGGCTTACCATTATAAGACAAACTTATAATTTCTTATACATTTGTTTATCTTGTGTTATATCTGTTTCTCTAATAAACCCTGACTAATACAGTGTTATCAAATTAAGACACATAAGAGGCTCCCAAGTGTCTCATCACTGACTGTTTTCAGTCATTTATTAACCAGATAGCTTGCAAAATCATACTTTTACCAAGGTGTCATCAACAAGCAAAACGCCTTTTTTTTCACCCCTCTAGAGTGGAACCAGGCAGACAGAGGTTTTCCAAATGCAGAAAGATACCCAAATTTGCTTCAAAGGAGGAAAAAAGTCAACCAGAATGTTAATTTAAATACCAAAAGGAAACTATATGAGATTGAAAAAAATGACCAAAAAATAAAGTTTTGCTTTTATTTTTTATCTGTACTTTGAAGCTAGACATTTAACTTCTCCAGTTTTACTGATTTGAGCTTCCTGATTTAAAAGCCATTACAATGCAAATGTAATGTTTCAGCTCCCATATCCCAAAATTCCTGATTCCTACCATATGCCCAAAATGAATACAGCCTATCTAATGTGGCTTCATTTCAGCCAATTTACCAGTCATCAGCCACACGAAAAACTAGCAGTTATTTTAAAACATAAAACAAAACAAATACCATGGGTCTACAGATAAATCACATCTATTTCATGTTTCAGAGCTGTTGGGTGTGGTACACAAAATGGAGTACTACTCTGTCATAAAGAAGAATAAACTGAGTTATGTGTAAGAAAATGGATGCACCCTGAGACAATAATGTTAAGTAAAAGAAATTGGACACAAAAGCTTAAATATTACAAGATTTGTCTTTTATGAGGAACACAAAATAAAACAGCAAAATAAAAAATAGATAATAGGAAATAGGGAGATAGATCTTTCTGTAAATAAGAAAGGGACCAGGAGATGGAAGCAGCAGGAGGGAAGGGAAAGTGATGAAAAAGAATTGAATTATATACAGGTACAAACTCCCTGCAAGGAATTATGTACTGCATACACGTACTAATAAAAATTAAAATTTGAAGGAAAAAAAAAGCTCTGTAAGCATCAATGGGTTAGCTTCCACATCACATGGACATTCCCCTCTCCCAAAAATATTTCTGAAAGAAGATGACACAGAAAAAGTGAAATGCCTTCCTCCCAAGCTCAGCTCAGCACTGACTACATTACCGTCACACTCTCTGTAATAATCCTAAGGTTTCAGGGTATGAAAAAGTTATCCCAGCTCACAAACACACTGGAAACACATGGTACCACATTAGCTGTCTGGGGACAGAGGTGACAGAAGGAAAGCAGTGAACAGGACAAATGTTAGAAAGAAACAGGGAGCTAATGTCCAGAACAGGAACATGGAGAAGACGGAGAAGAGCCCAGCACTGTGTGCAAGACAAAAGGGCATTTCCAGCTCTGCAACCAGAGAATACACTTAGCATCCATGAAGCCTAGGTCTATCACCCACACCTCCACACCCCTAAGCCCCATCCAATCTTTTCATTTGTAGCTCACATGGAAGCAACATCACACCTGCCCTGAACTGGTATGTGACTGCAGTCTACATCATACTGTAGTGTGAATAATCATTTTTTGCTATGAAAATAGAAATCTTTAAATATAGGATCCTGATCTCAACCCTCCTGGAAAATATGTTCAACAATACAAATTTTATCCAGGCATGGCAGCACATGCCTGAAATCTCAGCACATGAGAGGCTGGGACAGGAGGGTCACCAGTCATTCAAAGCAAGCCTGGGCAACACAGTGAGTTCAATACCAGACTATAAATTACATAGCAAGACCCTGTCTCCAATACTACTACTACTACTGCTAATAATGATAATAATAATGTACTTGATTACAAAGTGCTATTGAGGCCCTGCTAGCGTTATTTCAAGTTATATGTAGCTTACTGTCCTCCTAAAATCTGAAAGAAATCTGATTTCCCAAATACAACCACACCTAAAGAGTTCAGGGGATTACAGACTCCTATATACTAAAATTAACTTCATATTCAGCCCTATGAAAGGACCAAAAACAGTCTCTGTTCTTAGGTATACAGGAAAAAAAGCTACATATAAACATAAAAGCCATGGGATCTTGAATAGTACAGATACTCCAAACCCAGAACAAGGTCATGCATTAAGTGACAGAAAAAATGACAGAGAAGGAGTTGTTCTAAGAAATATGCCTGAAAGAAGCGTATCACAAGTTGTTTAAAGACTCTAAACATGCTATTAAAATTTAAACTGTGAAAAGAACTGGGAAGGTAACTGAACACAGAGAAACAAGACACAAGATGGGGAGAAGGATATGATGACTAGAATAAAAGAAATAGGCCAAATTAGAAAGACTTGGGGCAGAAATGGAGACCAATATGCCTGGAGGGCAGTGCCATCAAGCTGATGCACTTTAAAAAGCAAGCAGAGAGCTAGGCATGGTGGCACACACACTCGGGAGGCTGAGGAAGGAGGATCACTGAGTTCAGGGTCAGCCTGGGCTACACAGTGAGTTCAAGACCAGCCTGAACTACACAGCAAGACCTTGTCTCCAAAAAAAAAAAAAAAAAAAAGCAGCTGCAGTAAAAGCAGCAGCAAACAAAGGAATTATTTCCTTTTGGGGTAATAATGGTCTGAAGCCACTGACTAATATCCTTCTGCAGAGATGTGATGAAACCACTGCCTTGGAAACACTCTGCCAGCAGCTGTACACAGATAAGGCTGAGAAAGTAGAGTAAAGACAGACCACCTCAGGGTGGTGCCATACAGAACAGACAGCAAGCAAAATATGGTAAAGATCAATGGAATAGAGAAGGTAGGAATATATCTTCACATTTATAGTCAAGTGACTGGAAATCAAAATGTTAAGACAGACAATGCAAAAAGAAATGGTGCTGGGATCACTAGCTACACATATGCAATAGATAAAGCTGGATTCCTATGTCACATCATATACAAAAATTAACACAAAATGGATCAGAAAGCTAAAACTATAAAACAGAAAAAAGAACATATGAGTAAATCTTCATGGCCTGGAGTTAGGAAATGGTTTTCTTAAATATAACACCAAAAGTATCAGAAACAAACAAAAATAGACATTAGACTTTATCGAAATTAAAAACGTGCTTCAAAGAATAACATCAAGA